AGACTGGAAGATTCAGAGAACTTCATGTCGCAGATGATGCAGTCGAATGGCTTTTCTCCAGTGTGCGTTTTCATATGTCTTTTGAGATTAGAAGATAGGGAGAACTTTTTGTCACACACGCTGCAATGGAACGGCTGTTCTCCAGTATGCATTTTCATGTGATGTTTAAGATTGCCAGAAGTGGAATAACTGTGGTCACAGAAGCAGCACTCGAATGGCTTTTCTCCAGTGTGTGTTCTTAAATGCTGTTTAAGGTCGGTAGATTCAATGAACTTCTTGTTACACAAGCTGCACTCGAACCGCCTTTCTCCAGTGTGTATTTTCAAGTGTCTTTTGAGATGGTCAGATGCTGAAAACTTCCTGTCACACATGCTGCACTCGAACGGCTTTTCTCCAGTGTGCGTTCTCAAGTGTCTCCTAAGATTGCTAGCTTCGGAAAACCTCTGGCCACACACGCTGCACTCGAATGGTTGTTCGCCAGTGTGCGTTCTTAAATGTTTAATAAGTTGGCCAGCTGTGGGGAACTTCTTGTCACACGCGCTACACTCGAATAGCTTTTCTCCAGTGTGAGTTCTCAAATGTCTTTTAAGAACGCCAGATGTAGAGAACTTCTTCTCACACACACTGCAATCAAATTGGTTTTCTCCAATGTGGGTTCCAATATGTATTTTAAGATAGCCAGAACTAGTAAACTTCTTGTCGCACACGCTGCACTCGAATGACTTTTCTCCAGTGTGCGTTCTTAAATGCACTTTAAGGTAGGCAGATTCAAAGAACTTCTTGTTACACAAGCTGCACTCGAACCGCCTTTCTCCAGTGTGTCTTCTTAAGTGTCTTTTAAGAGTGCTAGAATAAGAGAACTTTTTGTCACACAAGCTGCACTCGAGCAGCTGCTCTCCTGCGTGGGTACGTCTACGCATCCTCAGACCCTCTGAGATCAGGAGAATTTGTTGGGTCGAAATGTTACACTCCAGTGGCTCCTCTCTAGAGTGCGTGTCAGTCTTGTCCGGTAAGATCCTTGCACGCGTCCAACAAACACCACACGCTGATGGTATGGTGCACGAGTTAAGTCTGCCTATGGGCTGAAAAAAAAGAGAATCCATGTTAATTCAGCCTACACGTCGTGCCACACGACATCAAGCGTAAAAAACAAACAAAACAACTTCTTTTGTAACAGCTGTCACAGCTCACCCCGAACGGAGTGTTCAATTACACATCTCTAAAATTATTTAAAACTTTTTTTTTTCAATGATTGAGGTCGGCATGGCGTGCTGCCTGTAAAAGTGGTAGCCGGAGGGGCGGAGCGCCTGCAACCTGCAGGATAGGCAACCGCACGAGGCGCAGCGCAGGGCCGTCGGGCGGGTTGCCTATCCACGAGTCCACAGGCGCTCCAGGGCAGCAAAGGGGACTGGCCGACGGCCGACAGCGTAGAATGGTAGGGGAGGGAGAGGAGGGAGAGGAGGGAGAGGAGGGAGAGGAGGGAGAGGAGGGAGAGGAGGGAGAGGAGGGAGAGGAGGGAGAGGAGG